TCCAACTTCATTTTAACAGCCTCAGCCCTTCAGGTACCCAACGCCTCAATGTCCCCTCTCCTCCAAATATATCAGCCAAGAAAATAGTAACAAAAATACCACTAGAATATTAAACCTCCCTCAGCAAACAGTTTGGACCTTTTCGCTTTCTAGAAGAGCATGCTAAATGAACACACGCACATATGATACGACCCTAAGCATCTTTCTATGTCGACAAATTAAATTTATCGTCTTGCCGGTTATACACAAATACCAACATATTTCAAAAACAGAAACGATAAAGTCATGATTTGAATAATGTCTGACTATTCACGTATGGGATACACATATATAATTGGTGGAGAGATCTCTCAGCGTATCGAGAACACAGTTTGTTTGTGATAACATAATCGATTGAAAATTTGAAAAGAAAAAAAAAATTCTAACCAATTGTATTATTAATACTTGGTGTAATAGTCCTTGTTTCCGGCACACTTCACACTTGGCAATCTAATATGTCTAAGATCCTAAGCATTGGTAGATTTGAGAAAACCTATCATATAACTAGTTGTACACAATTATGAGCATATTTTGAAATTGATAAGTCATAATCTGAACGATACATAATTGTTCAAGTATAACTGTTTATTTTCTTATACCATTTGTGATGTGATAATTTGAACGATAAATAGTTGTTCAAGTATAAGATAACATGTTTCGAAATTAATAAATAAAGAAATAAAAGTCTCTGCCTTTGAAAAAACGTTTTGCCCGTCTCTTAGGACTCGTACGACAGATGCCATGCCCACATTTTGACCCCATTAATTTTCTTTTCTTTCTTCTCCTCCTTCTCCCTGCCTTTCTTGAACCAGTCAGTCCACGCCCTCTCCCTTCCGGCTCCTCCGCTTCTTCTTAAAATCTCTCCGCCCTAAACAAAAGAAAATATTTTGCCGAAACCACAAAAATTCTCGTGAGCCCATTTGAGAGAAGATCGAAACACATGTTCGGATTGAAGAATGCCGCGGTGGTTGCAGTCAGCGCAGGAGTTGTTGCGGTGGTTGTTTTGATCTTATTATGGCGATGGAATTGTTACAAGAAACGTAAACAAAATGCTGGCAGCGGCGGCATGACAACGGCGGCCGCAGCGACGACGGTTGTTAGAGCACAGAGCCTGCAGGATGGAATTGCAAGGCTTCATCACCACCAACCAAGCAAGAGCATGTCGACCGGGAACAACTATTACCGCCGGGGGGTTTCTGGAAAGCCGCTGTTCAGCTGGGGTAATCATCCGACGTCCGTCACGGACGCCGTGGAAAACGGGTGGTCACGATTCGGCTTCACAAATTATCAATCTTCCGGTTCGACAAGGTCTAGACTTTTGGGGATGTGCGTGGCCGGCGATCAAGTTAGGGAGGCAGAGCCGGAGATAAGCTGGGAAGTGTGTCAAGGATCAGCCGATTTCATGCAGAAAATTCGACTCAATCCTGGGTTGAAAAAAGTGCTCAATTTAAGCGCTTCTAGTTCTGCTTCTGCTGCCGCCTCTGTGATGAAAACTGCCCTTCCTCTGCCCGGCCCTCCTCTTGGAAACAACTCCTTCCCGCAAGAAGCTTATTTCGAGATCACAATTTTGAGTTCGCACGACGGCGATGAAACAAGTCAGTCGATTGTTAAGGAAGGAGAGAAGATTAAACTGATTCAGGAGAGATACGATAAGAATTCGAGTTCGGATTCTTTGGTTCATGTGAGGAGTAGTAGTGAGAGCATTAGCAGAATTGAGGAATTGAAGATTAGAGTTAAGGATGATATTCATCATGGTAAAAATGAAGCTGTGTTGCTGTCGATTGGACTCTCCGTCGGCGGCGCTCTTCCTCTCAAACTTCCGGGAAGTTATCGGGGAAGCATTGGATTCGGCTCCAATGGCTCTGTCCATCTTGATGGTAATTCTTGAATTTCCCTCGTCTTTTTCATTGATGTCACTGTGCACTTGCATTGTGAATTGTCCTAGGTTAAAATACATGAGTGCGCAAATTATCGAGGGTAGCGATTTTCACATTCTTGCTTTATTCGTTGCATTCTGAACTGAATATTTTACTAATAATTGTACAGCAAGGCATGATAACTTTATATTTTACCTAGAAAGACTGATGAACTAATCTAACCATACAAGAACAAAATAACTTAATATCCTTGACCCAACATATTACCTCTTCACGCGCAGCAGGATGTCATGAAATTTGGCAAATTAATGTCAGTATGGACCCCATTACATGCTGCCATATACTTGGTTTCATCTGAGTAGGTTTTTAGTTGTTGCTAAAACTTAAACATACAAAAAAAACTTATTTTCTTACGTATAAAGAGTCATTCTTCATCGTAGAGAAATTAGATATTCGATTCGTACATAAGCCATTTCTTTTAATAAATATCTTTATGTTTGTGTCGGACTGGCAGTAAGAAGAAATGACTTCTTGACTGTAAGGAGCGAAACAATTATGAAAACAAAGAATAGATTATAGAGCATTAGGTGTTTGTTGCAACACTATCCTTACTTTACCCACAATTTTGAATAATATTTGGCTACTTGAAAGATGAGTAGGAGTTGTTACTCAAAATTGTTCATTTCCAATTTATATAAATTCGTGTTTATGATCAGAACAATCTATATTGTAAATCAATCCATAAAAATCCCGTCTGCAAAAAATGAATTAAAACTAAGGTCTTTTGTCATCAAACTATATAAAAATAGATAAACATAATTGGTAAAAGCATTACGAACAATCTATGTATTTGCCACAATAGATTGATTAAAGAACCTTAGTTTTAATTCTTCCCTTTTTTTTTTTTTTTGTAGATATAATCTTTATAAAGTGATTCATATTATGAACAATTCTAATCATAAGTACAAAACTCTGTGATTCGAACATGAGTGATTTTGAGTAGGAATTCATACTTATCATTAAGTTTCCAAGTATTTTTCCAAATTTTTACAGTTTACTTCAAAATTTTAAAATATTTCTAGAACATTGCATTCCCTTGTTGCGTGTGTGATTATTTTTAGTAACTTGGGTTTTCTTTTTCAGGGATTAAACTTGTGTTTGAATCAGAAAAAGCAACATGGGGACAAAGAGACAGAGTGATTGGATGTGGGTTTGATCCCAGACAAAAGAAGGTATACTTCACTGAGGAATCAGAGCTAGTGCATATGGTCCACTGCAAGTCAGAGGAATTCGGCACTCCTCTGTATCCAACCCTAGCAGCAAACACTGACATTACTGTCCTGGTCAACCTTGGTCAAAGTGCCTTCAAGTTTGCCCCGGCCAATGCCCAGAGGACAGCTAACCCTTGCTTTGTAGGCCCTCTTGTGAGATCCTCTGCTGCCGCATTCTATGAAGATAGCATGGAGCTTTTCTCCATGGATAGATCAATTGACTCCCAGTGGCTCAACAGGTGCACAACCAAGGGCAGCCGAAACCCTAGTCACGAACTGGAGTTTGATGATGAATCTGATGCTGATTTGTTTGAGATTGTTTTGGAGAGTAGTGGAAGATCCCCACACACGATATCGTAAGAGCTTATTGACAACATATTAGTAATATATCGACATCGATATTTACACAGTATCAATAATGATACGATGTTGATATCATGATCGATATATAAGGTCACTAACCAGTGCAATAGATATCAACAAAGATAGATTTTAGAAACAGGGTTCATATCCTTCTAAAGATTTATTCATTTGTTTACTTTTTGCAGGAGACCATTTGTTCCCCTTTGTGTATATATATTTCGAACCTTCTTATGTTGAAGTTGTATCAGAGATTTGATATGCCTTGTTTTGATGAAATTGAAGGTCCTTCCATAACAAAAGCCCACGTTAATTCATTGCTTTTCACTTGCAAATTATTATTGGAATTCAGCATCTCCAAACGAGTTAGCAAAATTTTCTCTTAAAAGTGTCATTTGCTAATCCGTTTGGCACTTTTATGGCACTTTACAATCTCTTTACTAAACAATACCTTTGAAGAAAATATATTACGGGACTCAATTTGCTAACTTGAAGAAGTATCAACTGACTTCCTAAATTCTTCAGTTTGATAATTGAGAGTTACTAAAACTGCTGGAAATGCATTTTTCCTGCATGGCATGACAAGTTTAACTTTACTACCCAATTCTATCTCCGTTAGACATGCTCTTAGAATTATTGTCGGGTACAACAAAAACTACTCCTCGTCACCATATATTTTTCTTTATATGCATCATCACAAGTGACGTGTAAGTGTTAAAAAGAGAGGATAATCTCTGTGGTAGGAGGAAGACTAGGGTTAGATTGCTTGGCCATCTCGTTATTTATGTAGCCATTAAGGTTATGTCACATCATAAGTTACTTGCGATATATGATTTTCTTGACAACACGCTGACAATTATGTAATCAAAGTATTAATAACTTCAATCATGTGAACGACATGACAATAGTCAATATGCATGTCGATGTTAAATAGTCGGACCAACTAGCTAGAAAGCAACCGGATCAATATTTTTCCTCCTTTGATAGGGAAGTGTACTTCGTAGTGGCAGATTACGTGCAGCTGCTGATAGCGTGAGGAAGCGAAGAAGGATGCTGATTCTCATCAGTAACTAGAAGGATGCTAACGAGGAAAAGGACTTTGAATGGCCAGTTGGACCTTGGAGTACGTTACAGACATGCGGTAGTGAATGAGAATAACCGAAGTGGGGAAAGAAACAGAACACACGAATTTTATGAAACAAAGCCTAACCCCAAACCTCCCAATTCTAAATATAGGCCCCATTAAATTCTCTAGAAGGGAGTAGAAATGAAGAAGTCCAAATTCCGTCACCTTCTCTGATTGTAACACGGGTAGTGATTTTCACACTCCTCATCTTGTTCTTATCTCTTATTTGTCGTTTCGTTTGTTTATTCCATAACTCTTACAAACTATAACACATGCCATGGCTACATCCGGAACACTCGTCAATGTCATGGCTACATCAGAGAAAGATGAAGAAAAAAAAAGTGAGTTTTGAAGTATTAATTTGAATTTTGAAGTGCGTCAGAGCTTCCAATAATACAAAGAGAACAGCCGCAAACATAACAGCATGTCGACTGCCAGAACAGGAATGACTATAAAACATTAAAAACAACACCATATCATATTTGCAATTCAAATGAGAACTAACTTATAAGGTTGATCACGTCTAGCAGAGAGATTTGAGCATGACCTTCTTAACCAAATCAACGAGTTTATAATCATATCTAGTAAAAGCACAATGCATCATAGAACAGGTGGATATTGCTTTGCCTGCTGTCGCACTCTTCGCTTGTACTCAGCTGGTTCCTGCACGTCAGGATAGAAATCGTCAAACACAGTTCATACTTCATGAACAGGAGTGAATGAGAGACGGCTAAAGATCAAGACAAACCTGGATAAAGAGTTGATAACCTTCAGCTTGTGCCGGATCAGCAGGATTAGGCTGGCCTAGCAAATCCTGAATGCCTACGAGGATTTGCTTCACTGTGATGGCCGGTCTCCAACCCTAAAAAAAGAAATTCATGTTAGGACGACTTCATCAATGAACACAATCTCCATATACATGCTATAGCAGGAGATATTGCTTACTTTGTCCTCGTTGAGAATTGAAAGACAAACAGTTCCAGAAGGATACACATTAGGGTGGAAAAAGCCATGTGGGAACTTGCATTTCGGGGGCTTGCTGGGGTAATCCTCAGTGAAGTTAAGTGTAAGTGGAAAGTAGCCACCTTCCCAATCAGTCTGCAATACCAGCAAGATCAATACCGAAAACAATATATTGCAAAAATTCCTTGTAAGGATGTTACGCCAGCAATCAAGCAACCACTATCAGTCTATCATAAAAATAAGCATTTCCGTCAGCATTATGAAGCTCTTGAACATTGTTCTGAGAATCCCTCCTAGGCGCTAAGCGGTTGGCCACCTCCACAATTATTCCCTAGGCGTTAAAGAAATAAGAAAGGGCACTAGACCTGCCTAGAGGCCCCCTAGCATGCCTAGACCTGCCCAGTTTCAATACGTTCCTCCCTCCAGTATTCATTGATAGACCCTCTAATTGATTTCAGATATTAACACTGACTAGAATATAAGTGCCGAAAGCTAAATCCTACATATATACACTATCCGAATTGCGCATTGTATCCAAGTGCCGATTTTACCAGAATTGCAAGCCAACAGGCAAAACTACAAAGTAGTACGAAAAAGCAGTATACCAAACAACTTCTGGAAAAGAAAAAAAACCCACATGCAATTCTCTATAGAAATTTATGCAGTCAAACATAATTAAAACAAAAAAGAAAAAAATTAGCAAAACCCCATAAAATCTAAAACCCTAATGCCCTGATTGAGGGGGGAACTGATCAAGCGAGTCAAATTCCGAATTAAAATCCCGAAATCCCCAATCTTTCAATTGTCCTACAAAAATCTCACCAGGAGAAAGAAATAGAAGAAGACTCACAGATGGTTTGCCGGGGATGATGCACTGCCACACCATCAAATTGACGGAGCCATCCGAAGCAGTCTCCGGCTTCGCCACAAAACCCTAATTTAATTAATAACCACGAAAACGACGACGTCAGGCGATGCAATGAACGGCGAATGAAAATTAAATCGAAAATAACATTGGAGAGAAGCGAAGGACGATGGTCGGTACGGACATGTGGGTGGTTCTTGCGCCACGCTTTTCGCTCCTCGGCGAGACGACCGCGCGCGATTCCTCCAGACATTCTCTTTCTGTAGGTTTCTGATACTTCTAACGTATGGCAATCAATCAGATCAGATGGACTCAGTCTTTCGAATGTCGACGGAGTCTATGTTGTATGTCGGTCAATGATGTCAGAAATCGCGAAATTATAGATTTAAGTAAATTCTCTAGAAACTTCCAGGCTGCGCCCAAAGCAATAGGTCCGTACTCTACAAGATTCCTTACGCGGCTTCTAAAGGCGAGCGCGTTTTCCTGTTCTTTTTTTCGCCTTCGACCCCAAAAGTATGTTTATTTAAAATCTAGCCCCCCCCATTACTTTTAAAAGCAGTTGTCCGCATGCATGCCAAAGCGAGAGAATTCTGGTGTCCGTCAGTCAGTCATATGATCCTTCAGCACAAATTCTGCAACGGTTTTTAGCACTGATTTAAAAAATTTTGCCTAGCGCTTATGTTTTAGGTGGTTGGTCATCGTCCCAATTAATATCAAGACGTTTGAAAATTAAGAAATTGTGTTTAGACCTACTGAGATGCCCGCCTATACCGTCTAACCCGCCCAAACCTGCCTAAATCGCGACTCACTTAGACAGAAAATAAACAACTTTCATTTTGCATTTTTTTCTTCCATAAATTGTAAATGAACACACATTATATCTTGTTCCCTATGTTTTCATTATATTCCAATATTTCGTAATATATATGTCATTCTATTTTGTAGTTTATGATGAAATTATATATATTTTAAGTATAACCGAACACTTATTTATACAAAATATAATAGATTTACTTCAATCTGCTTGGGCGCTAGGCCTTAATCCGCCGCCCGACTAGCGCATAAGATTTTTTAGAACCTTGGTTTTTAGTGATGCAACTGCGTTGAAAAGATCTGGTATGTCCAACGGAAACAAGATAAGCAGAAATTGATTTAGTGAGACCTCTTCCAGATTTTCCAAGTACGTCAAATGAGTTACGACTCTCATCCAATAAACACACAAAACTAATATTTCTCCTTCAATTTAACAGTCACACCATCAGAAATTACAAACTTGTAATTAGAGATAACGCAATACTGTAACAACCTCATCACTCGTAGATCTATATAATCAACAAGCTAAATTCTTATGACATCATTTGTATTCCTTCTTTATCCCAAAATGGCGTCTCATTTTTCCAACTCTTCCCCTCTATCCCTCTATCTACGCTACCTAATGTTTCCAACTTCCTTACAATCAAATTGGATCGTACAAATTACCCTCTCTGGCAAGCCCGGATGCTTCGTAGCATGAATCTCATCTCCTATGTTGATGGCACTAGCAAATGTCCTCCCGCCTGACTCAAGGATGCTTTGGGCAATCTTACTGATAATGTGAATCCCGAGTTTGAAGCATGGATTCAATAGGACGCTATGGTTATGTCCTGGACCAATAACTCTGTTCATCCCACTGTGCTTGTTGCCTTAAAACCAGTTCCCATTTTGCATGGACCTGTCTGCGTGAAGGTTATGCTTCGCAGTCCACTGGTCGTCTTCTTCAATAGTGAGCTAATGAATGCTCACCGTGGTGACTCCTCCATTGATGAGTTCGATAAGTTCCTTGATCGTGTTAATCGTCTTGCTGACACACTATTGTCTGGTGCTTCAATTTCTGATTCAGACTTTGTTGCCATAATTATGAACAATGTTGGACCTGCCTATGAAAGCAATGTGGCTTCTGCTCAGGCTAGTGAAGAAGTCATCTCTTACAGTGCTTTGGAGGTCTTTCTGCTTAGTGCTGAATGTAGTTAAAAAATGCATATTGTCTTCTCTGCTGATATGGGACCTCCTGCAACTGCTACTCGTGGCACGGGTGGTTTCCGTTTGTAGGTCAGGCTAAGGTGGTATTTCTGGTGGTCGTGGCTCCCATAACAGTGGTCATGGCTCCTCATTTCATCCTGGTGGCTCGAGCTCTAGCTCTCACTCCCATTCCAACAGTGATGGATTTCTTCGCATTGCTCATTCTTAGAGATGTACTACGTTTTCCCCTTCTGGACTTATTCAATGTCAAATATGCAATCACCATGGACACTATGCCATTGACTATTTCAGTCGCCTCAATATGGCGTACAAGGTTCGTACAACACCACTTCACGCTTATGCAACTAGTGCTTCTCCTTCCGCATCTGCCACAACACTTGCCCTCCAGAATTAGTTGTTTGATATTGGTGCGAATACTCATAAAACCAATGATCTTGCTCATGTGTCTAATTTGCAAACCTACAATGGAACTGATCATGTCTATGGTGTTGTTGGCGGCACAGGTTTGAAATTTTCTAAAGTAGACACTTCTTGCATTCATGCACCTAATACATCATTTACCTTATCTAACACTCTATATTGCCCAAATGCATCCACCAATGTGATATTTATTCATCGTTTTACCAATGACAATCATTGTTCCCTAGCCCTCTATCCTAATTCCTATCTTGTTCAAGATCTCAAAACGGGGAGGACGTCTTTCCAAGGCCGGAGTAAAAATGGATTCCATCCATTTTCAAGTGTTTCTTCTCAAAATAATGGTGTTTTTCCTTTCTTAAAAGCTATAGTGTCGAGTGTTGTTTCTAGATTAAGTCATCCTTTTGCTTCTATTTTAAAGTCTTTAATATCTAAGAACAGTAATGCTAGGGAGACTGAATTAATAGACTAAATTTGGAAACTAAATTATGTGTTACCAATTACAAATAAGCACGTTAATCAACAATAAAAATAACTTAATTATCAACTTCCATGTCATTTAGTTTACAAATTTAGTCTCCCTGACATTACCCATATAAGAAAAAGTTACCGGTCTCTGGTCTTGTAACTCAGGATTTTTGTCATTCATGTCCTATGGGCAAAAGTCACAAGTTACCATTTTCTTTAATAATTCAATGTCATCTTTTCCATTGGAATTAATCCATTCAGATGTGCTCTATGGGACATGACTTTTGCCCTATGGAGACATGGTAACTTGATAATGAAAAGGTAATTTCTGATTTTTGCCCATAGGACACACATGACAAAAATCCTGAGTTACATGATCAGAGAGGCAGAGATTAGGAATTTATTTCTAGATATTAAAAACCTTAAAATAGAAGCATAAAGATGACCTATTTTAAATGCCAAAGAGCATTCGACACTCTAGCTCCTAAGAAAACAAAACGCCATTATTTTTTAGAAGAAACACTTGAAAATGGGTAGAACCTTTGTTTTTACTCCAGCCTTGCAAAAGCGTCATCCCTGTTTTGAGATCCTGAACATGATAGGAATTAGGATAAAGGGTTAGGGAACAATGATTGTCATTGGTTAAACGATGAATAGATATCATATTGGTGGATGCAATTCGATGAATAGATATCATATTGGTGGATGCAATTCGGCCATAAAGAGTGTTAGATAAGGTAAATGATGTATGAGCTGTACGAATGCAGGAAGTGCCAACTTTAGAAATTCTCAAACATGTGCTGCCAACATCATTGACGTGATCAAATCCATTGTAGGTTCGCAGATTAGACACTTGAGCAAGATCATTGGTTATATGAGTGTCCGCACCAGAATCAAACAACCAATTCTGGAAGGCATGAGCATTTGGCAGGCGCAGAAGGAGGAGCAGCAGTTGCATAAGCCCGAAGACTTTGTGCGAGAACACGACCCTCATACGCCATATTGAGGTGATTGAAACAGTCGATGGTAGAGTGTCACTGGCGATTGCATATCTGACATTGAATATGTCCAGAATGGGAAAGCACGGTACCTCTCTGAGAAGGAGCACCGCTAAGAAGTCTGTCACTGTTGGAACTGGAGTGAGAGCTAAAGCTCGAGCCACAAGGATGAAACGAGGAGCCACGACCATTGTTATAGGAGCTACGACCACCACTAAAACCACCGTAGCCTGGCCCACGGCCACGGAAACCACTTATGCCATGATTGCCACGAGCAGGAGCTAAAGCAGTAGGGCCAGTATCAGCAGAGAAGAAAGCATGGATTTTTTATGACGTTCAGCACTAAGCGCAAGGGCCTCCAAAGGACTGTAAGAGATGGCTTCTTCACAAGCCTGAGCAAAAGCCACAGTGCTATCATAAGTAGGTCCAAAATTGTTGAGAATGATGGCAACAATTTCTTAATCAGAAACTAGAGCACCAGACAATGATAGGGTGTCAGCAAGGCAATCACCATGATCGAGAAACTTAGTAATGGAAGAGTCACTAGGGTGAGTGTTCATCAAATTACTATGAAGTTGAAGAAGACAACTAGTGGACTGTGAAGCATAACGTTCATGCAGACAAGTCCATTCAAAATGAGAACTGATTTTTCCAAATTCGGACAACAAGCATGATGGGATGAGCAAAGCTATTGATCCAAGACACACCATAGAGTCCTGTTGAATTCATGCTTCAAACTCGGGATCCACATTATCAGTAAGATTGTCCTCAACATCCTTGAAAAAGACAGGACATTTGCTAGTGTCATCCACATAGGAGACGAGATTCCTGCTATGAAGCAGGGAAGCATCTGGGCTTGCCAGAAATGGTAATTTGTGCGATCGAGTTTGATTGTAAGGAAGTTGGAAACATTGGGTTCCAATATAAAACTAATTGGCAATATGGAGAGTAACCTAACCTCTTATAAACCCTTGCATGGTTTCTTCTTTCACTAATGTAGGCATTTTTTACCTTCACATCCTCACACGCCCCCTCATGTGTAGCGAATTTTTAAGCCAAACAAACAACACAAATTGGGTAACATGAAGCACGTGTGGTAGTTGAGCTTCACATGTGGAGCAACCTAGCTCTAATACCATGAAAAAATATGGGGAGCAGTCGAACTAAAGTTGGAGTTCTACCATAAAACCAATTGGCAATATAAAGAGTAGTTGAACCTGTTACAAACCCTTGCAAAGTTTCTCATTTCACCGAAGTGCGACTCTTTTACCATCACATCACATGATCAAGAGCATGCATACTCACCCAACAATAATATCATTTTTTCTTTCTGGCAAATGCTGCAATGGCATTGAACATTGCAGACAGTCCACAAGAATAGAGAATCACGTCGAGAGTACCCAAAAATTTTGCTATTATTGCCTCGCAAGCAAGGCGGGCATCTGAATCTGATGCAAAATAAAATGAAATGAGATGAAATAAATAGATGTAT